AAAACATTAGTTTTTGAATCAAAAATTAAATACAATACCAAAATTTTATCAAATTTTGACTGATATATTTGCAATTGGTAAACAAGTACTTATATTATATCATCTATCCTTGATTACTGATATGCTGTTAATCCACAGGTATGATGGAGCTTGTGGGAAAGAAAATATTTAAAGTTTAAATCTATTGTTTTAGATTTTATTAATGATAATTATAGTTTAAATAATTATAACCCAGCTAATTCTATCATTTCTCATATCTTTCTTTCTCTATCCGTCAGATTACTTGCGTGGATTACTCATGCCACCGTGATATGGTTTTTCCTTTTTGTCAATATTTTCTGCTCAAATTCATTTGACTACAAGAGAGTTTTGATCGTTTGTCTTGTAAGTAATTTGTAATCGGTAGAAACAAAAAATACTGAAATTAGAATACGACATTTGAAACCCATTGCTTTATTTCTTAATGCAATTTGTTCTTTAAAAAAGCGGAATTTTTAAATTGCAAAAACCTTTCCAGTGTTTTGGTTCGAGCGAAAATATTGCGAACGAATGCTTTTTTGCAGAATTTTTGCAGTCTGAGGATCACTATACTTTTCACTTTATATGGTAGTTACCCAAATATTTAATCATTTATAATAATTCACCTTCTTTAAAAATGAATGTTATTAATCAGCGAATATTGATCTACTTGAATTAATATAAAAATATTATTGGCATATGCCAATCTGTATATAAGACGGCATAATCTTGTAAAAAGTTTGCAGCTACGTAAAAAACTAGTTATTCATATTAATGAGCAGCGTCATTTTGAAAGTTACTCGTTTATGCTGTAACTTTCAAAAGATTTATCTATTTCATTTGCTAAGCTTACAACAAAGTTAAGCATTTTTAATTTTAAGCAGTTCTTATCGATGCTAAGAATACTGGCAAAATACTGACGAATAATATTAACAGGTGCGATCGCAGACAGTAGGAATTACAGCATAAAAATATACGAAATAAATTATGATTACAAAAAGTAATCATAATTTATTTGTTTTATATTTATTAGTATGTTTCGTGTACTATTTTGAAGATATTTTTTGTTTCTACAAGAATGCAATACTGGAAATTGAGTAATTACTTTTCTTTTTTTTGCTCTACAAGCAATATTTCATTTTACTTTATAGTTTGCAAGACTAACACAAATAGCAGACGTGTACATATGCGACATTTACCAGCACAACTATTGTTGGATATAGTATGCTTGATATTTTGTATCATAATTTAGTTCAATAATATTACATTTCCTTTAGCTACATAAATATTTATGAATTTTCTTTTCCACAAACTTTTATAATTTCATATTATCAGTCAACGTCATCAATTCGTGATATCAGAATATACAACACGCATTATTAGAATTGCTATCTGTTTGCATGCAAAATTTTCAAAATTAAAAAAAGTAAGCTAATTTAAAAAGGGATTTCAAAGATTGAAGCAATGTTATGCTTATGAAAGTTGCTGAATGAATTACGAGAGACAGAATTATTGAGTTGTTGTAAATGTTTTCGCAGTAATAATGTTTGTTTTAGAAGTAATGAACAAATTAAATAAAAAAGTTTACGAACTGATGACATTTAATAATAATACTTTTTGTTTTTTTCAATAATTCATGTCTAAACTGTCGATTTAAGTTATAATCACTGAAAATTAACCATCGAAACACAAACTGGTAGCAATTTTCTTGAAAATGCAATCTTCGATTCAGAAATATATCAATGTGACCTCTTGTTAGATTCTTGGCATATTTTTGTACAAATTTTCATCACGCTAATCAATAATATATTTTTATAAAACATTTTTATTCACACATATGATAAAATAATGATAAAATGATAACAAAATAATTGTATTTAATAAGCAAAAATATACTTAAAAATTAAGGCTTCTATTTAGTAAGCATTCTTTAACACATCGTAATCACTAAGATAATATTGTTTGCAGTAGCAATTATTTCAGTATATTTAGTTCTTCAATCATAAAGTCATTTTTGAAAGGGAAAAAAGCAAAAATATAACACAAATATAATATTACTATATATTCCACAGTGCAATTGTTTGTTGCTTTCATATTTGAATATAGTTAAAGTTTACTGCAAAGCAATTCTACTATCCACTAATATAGCACATTCACTATAAGTAATTTTTCAATAAAAAGGATCGCAAGTGAAAAGAAGTTTAGTATGAAGATTCTAGCACACCAATGATTCCTTCTGAATCTGTTCATATAGTTTAAAATTTTTCCCATCTTAATCAAATCATTTTATGTTCATAACAAAGCAATAATATTGTTGTACTCAAAAACTTTTTTAAATTTTGCTTGCAAAAACAGACTTAAAATTTTTTTAGTATCGGCAGTTTTTTATTGCTAAAACCAGCCCATAATTAATGTATATTTACGTTAGATTCTTCTCGTATTTTTCAAACTTTTCAGAGTTTTTTTTTTTT